ACGATAAACATAGTCCCCATTCTGAATTCTCAAAACTTGTCCTGAACTTCAGTTTTTCTTTTTCAATTAAATCATATTAAAAATAAAGTAGTAAAATAACGTGGCGATAAATGAGGACTTCTTAATCCTCGTTCCGATTTCCAAAAATCCTGACTGAACGAGATGGTAATGGACGGTAGCCCCATCCTGATATGTTGCTATCTCTAAATTCTACTCTCCTTTGATTTCTTAGCTTTCCAAACCAGTGATAAATTTATTCTACTATCACAAACATAAGGTTCTACTAGTTCATCTTTTGATTCTCGGGTGATAAACTCGACACAATCATGTTTGAGTTCCATTTTTCAAAACTCGTTTTCAATCACAAATTTTCTAACTAAAATTGTTGGTCCCCGATAAGTTTGTAAAAACGATTTGTAACAAAACCACAAGAAAACGAAGAAAAATAACAAGAATCACAACACAAATAATTTTTGGCCTTTAGGCCCCGAGGTTCAGCGACCGCTTCAAACGCTTAATCCCCGTTGAGCATCCGTTTAAAGATTAAGCTCAAATCCACTAAAATCGTCCAAAATGGCAAAAATATAGAGTTTACTGTACACGACTCAAAACAGCAATAAATCACTCAAACAACTTTCACAATACTCATAAACTCACACAAGAGATCATAGATCTACTCTCCCATCTCTAAAATCACACAAGAATATAGAGATCTAATTATAGAGAGAAAAACGTGAAAGAGAGTAATAGAATAAAAGCTGCGCCCTAAACCAATCTATCGAACCCTAAAGGAGAAAAGTGGTATTTATATGTGGTTCCAGAATCTTGAACTCATGGATCCGGCTTTTGGGCCAAAACCTTTGGCCAGACCAGCAGCATTATAAAATGGGCCTCTACCAAAAAACAGCAAACAACTAACAAAAATAATTTGTGGAAATTACACCACACCCTACTTTTCAAAATCAACTAGTGAGGATCGTGCGTTGCACGATTACCATTATAATTTTTGTAATTCCACAATTGAACACAGGCAAAAATAACATCGAATTGATTCAAACAATGAATATTTAGACACAATTTAAATTACACGAATAAAATCTCCACTTCATTTACAAAAATTGA